AATCCTTATTTTTTCTCATTCATCCACATTGTGTATATTAATAAAACCTTATAAATTTGATTATAATTTACACAAATATATTCAAATTTAATAAGTATTTTATATATAAAATTTACTTAATTTTATGATGTATTTTCTTCTGAAACAACTGTCTAAAACAAGTCTAAAACCTGATAATTATTGATGTAAAAAATCAATAGCAAGCTACTTTCATAATTATTTTGAATAATGGATTGAGAGGCACCACTGACAATATTTGAAGACTTGGATTAGTAATTTTTGGCATTACAAAGACTGATTTGTGCATATATTTTGTTATGAAACAAATTAGTACATTATATAGCAAATGCTTTGAATATTTATGTTACATTAAATACATTTGTAAGAAATAGCAATGATATATTAAATTTAAAAATATAAAAATTAAAATAAACTGATTTATGGTTGAAGTTAACAATAATAAAGTTATAGGTAGACATTTGTTTAAGACATCTTAAAACATTAATTGTTGCATTTAAACTTTATAAAACTACTGTATTAAAACTCATATTTCTAATAACAATTGCATTGATGTTTAAGATTAAGTCTTTAATCATAGAATAATTTATATAGATTTTCTCCTAATTATCTGCAGGATACTTTAAAAAGATATGTTTCTTCTCTTTCTCATCTCAAAATAAATGAGGTAAGTTTAACCAATATAAACTAAATTAACAAACATTTTTTTTTAAGAAAAGAAATTTTAAACATTTTATACTAAAAAAAATAATATATAAATGATCTGGATTGACCATATATATTATTGTTTATGCTAAATCTAATGCACTACATATAATGATTTATTAATGACTAAGGGATTCAGTACTACATTAACAATAAGCTTTAATGGTTAAATAGTAAATAATTTCAGAAACATTTGAAAAGAAGAATGATTTAGGGCAGGATTTTGTTGTACTGTACAACATAAAATCATTAAAATACACAAATAATAAAAGGGCTGTTCGAAAAGTTCGCAGCCTTGCCTATATGCGGCGCTGCGATCAATTTAATTTTTGGCGGAAATAATTCAGCCATCCTTGCTAAAGATACGATACCAATTTCCGCTTGATTTGTCGTAAAGTTTTGCCACGACAGCTTAGCAGATTGTCAATGTGCACATGCTTTGTCAAAAATGGAGAAGACGGAGACTCGTGTGGTCATAAAATACCTGACGAAAAAAGGGTTGACCGCATCTCAAATCAAAGCTGACATGGATGAAGTTTTGGGAGAGTCNGCTCACTCAAAAACTCACCAACACTGACGAACGTCGGAAGCGCCCCCCTAATTACTCTATTGTTTAACAGACACTAACTGATTGTTGGTATCTAAGTTGTTAACTTATTGTTAGAGTTAAAAGTACAATTCAAGTCTTAGTTCTTATAATAGAACTGAGTATAGGAAAAAGTAGTTATAATTTTAAATTACTTGATGAGATTTGAATGAGTTTAATATGATGAATAGAGGATAGAGTACTTCCTATTATTCCTGGCTGCTCACTATGACAGATGTAAAAACTTGAAAATCAAGTATGTGGATATAATTTAAAATTTTTCATGCACATTAGTATGTATTTGAATGAAAAGTATTAAGTGTATAATAAGAAAGCTTACAAAAACTTTACAAGCAAATATTAATCTTTATTTATCTTATATATAAACTTTGGCAGCCCTTGCACCCACAGCAGTGTAGGCATTGCCATCTCAAAACAAATTTGCAATGCCATTCACTTGGTTCACTGATACAATGACTGTCTTATGAAGATCGTCTTCGTGACACTGCTCTGGACTCTCCATGTCTTTACTGCCTATGCCCTGCAAACTGGACAACTGGAGACCAAGAAGGATTCAGTTGCTCAACGTCCTGATGCAAGACGTGCCATTTCCAGATTACATCCTTGTTGGTGGCAACTTCAATGGCCATGTTGGTGAGACTGTTGACGGAAGCCATTGTCATAGTGGCAAAGGCTTTGGCCAATGCAGTGACAATGGTGAGCATGTGCTTGACTTTGCTGACTTTCACGATCTTGTCCTCACCAACTCCAGGTTCAAGAAATGATTGTTGCAATGGCCCATTTTCTACAGTGGAGACACAAGGTCTCAGATTGATTGTGTCTTAGATTGATGACATGACATGCACACCATTGTCGACGTGAAGGCCATGCCATATGAGACAGTGGTGATGCAACACCAACCCATCATTGCAACACTTCACGTTGATCCACCAAAACTGCCTGACACAGATTGAACTGGCCCACTGCACATCAAGTGGTGGAGACTACATGACAGTGAGGCAGAGACATCACATATATCCATCTTCCAGCTGTGACGACTGTCAAGGAGATGTGGCAGAGGGCAAGGTGGTCTATTCATGGGGCTGCTTGGTTGATTCTCGGTCATACCATCCCAGGCCACTGCTTTGTGAAGCATGACAATTGGCTTTGGACAGATGATGTGAAATCTAAAGTCTGTGCGAAGAAGAAGTTCTACCATGCCTTCCTCGACAAGACTCCACAGAACTGACAGGTATACTGAGATGCTAGCCATGATGCTAAGAAAGCTGTTGCTGCAGCCTGAGCAGTGCACTACAAGACAATCTACGAGCAGCTTGACATGCAAGATGGTGAGAGTCTCTGCTGTCTTGCCAAAAGCCATAACTGGCAAATGCAGTATATTGAGAAAATCAGTCATCAGTCAATCAAATCAATCCATCACAGTTTGTTGACAGACAATCTGTGATGGACTGATGACAGCTACAGATCTCTGGAGGGTGAAAGGTTGGAAGCCTTTCATCCTCCAGCTTGCTGCTTTCTTCAACCTGATCATTGAGGAGAAGAGGATGCTCACCGACTGGCAACAGAGTATCATCGTACCTGTCTGGAAAAGGAAAGGTAGTTTGAGCACTCAGCCAGGCTGGCTCAGTGCTCAAACTATTGCCCTATTTGACTTCTTTTGCACACTATGAAGTTGTTCGAGCATGTCTTAGACTCTGGATTCGTAACCTTGTTGAGCTCACTGTAAGCCAGGCTGGCTTTGTGGCATGATGGACGCTGTCTTGCTGCTCGACTCCTCTTTGAGAGGCATTGTGAGAGGAGGATTCTGCTTGACATTGCCTTTCTCAATCTTGAGAAGGCATTTGACCACGTGCCACATTAGCTTATCTGGTCCACTCTCCACTAACATCACATTCTTGAGGAACTTGTCAGTTGAGTGCAATTGCTCTATTAATCCAACAAGTTGTGTTTATAGTGTCGCTGGAACCTCAACTGTTTTGCATCTCCATTGGCAATCACCGGGCTCCTTCCTCTCTCCATTTCTCTTTGTTGTTGTGGATGCCATTACATGTGACATCCAGTGGCATGCACCATACATGCTACTGTATGCTGATGATGTGCTCCTTTCCTCCACTGATGGGGTCGACCTACAGCAACTCATCCAGATGTGGTGTGATTGCCTTGCACAGCATGGCCTCCAGCTGAACCTGAGAAAGATGGAGTACTTGATGACAGACCGAACTGAACCAGGTGCAATCATTGTCGATGGCGTCGGCCTTCCTCGAGCTGGGTGAGCAAAAATTCATGAGCACTGTAAATATCTCAGTTCTGTGATCTCTGCTGACAATGACTTGTGCCATGAAGCCATCGCTGGCTGAAGTGGCACTCAATAACAGGTGTGCTGTGTGACCAATTCATCAGGGACTGACTCAAGACAAAGATCTATTGAATCGTCATGTGGTCTGTTGTGCTGTATGGTACCAGGTGCTGCACGTCAACTACAAATGTCGTCGACTGCCAACTTGCTACTATGGAGACCAGGATGCTGCATTGGATGAGTGGTATTACCAGACTCAGCCAAGTACCCAGCATTGACATCAGAGCCTGTTGTGACGTTGAGATCAGCGAGAAAGCATGTGAGTGCCGCCTGTGACTCTATGGTCACACACTCTGCACTTTCGCCGATTCCATTATTTACACGAGCCTACATTTGGAGATACCTGGGTCATGCCCGAGGCATCATTGGCTGGACATGCTGCACTATGACCTGCAGGTTGTGGACCTACATCTAGACCAGGCCCATAAATGGGCCAAGTGGTGATTTAGAATAAAATCCAGGGGTGCTGACCTTGTCATTAAGCGGGATTAAGGCCAAAGAGGAAGAATATTTATTTTATATATAATATTATGTATGTGACAAAAATTAGAATGTTTTTCGCTCTGTAATGAAGGAATAGAATACACCGCTTTCGTAACATTATAATAAACAGTTGACTCTTTTTTGGCTTTTATAACTGCTTCAAGTTTACGAGGGAGTGAACCACGAGTTTTGCACATTGGTCTGGACTTATTTGGGACCAAATGTTTTTAAGCTTTTGCTTTAGATTAGTAAGATTTAATGGTTTTTCATGTAATTGTTTTCTTTACATAATCCAAAAATTCTCAATAGTGTTAAAGTTGGAAATTAGTCAGTCTCTCTCTATACCTCTGTGTTATTTTTTTGGAACCACTCAGTTGCTATTTTTACAGTGTGTGGAGCTTCTAGACCATGTTGGGAGATGAAATTACTCTCAGAAAATAACTTTCTACAGATGGCAACATAAAATAAATTTTGTATACACATCTTCATTTATGTTGTTGTTGACAATTGGGTGACAAATGAGTAAAAACAAGTAACAATTGCTTGTTATCTGTTTTTTACCATTGTACTTGCATAAATTTACAATATGTTTTATGCAATGTGAAGTAACTCATTTTATAGAAGGGGTGATGAGTTGTAGAAACTAAAAGCTGTTAAACAGGCTAAAGACTAACACATTATCAGTAAAGATTAACAGTAGCTTAATTTAGACATTAATAGAATGATAGTCTATATATAATATGTATTGATTTATGATATATTTTATAATTAAATATTATTTTTTAAATTGAAAATTGTATGTTAAGTAATAAAGAATAATTTTATTAATTTCAGTCAACTTTTAGAATTGGGAAGCATCTGCAGAGAGAATTTTATGAGACTTATTCCTGCAATTGATCTCGATGACAATGTAACCATTAATGAATTACCAGATATTTCATTATGCATTCAAAATTTTCTGGCATGTTTTGATAATCTAGAGTAAGTAATTTAAATTTATTAAGGACAGTGTTGTTAAATTAAGCATGATTATAATCACTGCATAATTTACATAGTATTAGGAAAGAATTATAAAAGAAAGACAAAATAAAGTAATATATGTTTATGTAGATATTGAGCTTTTTAGATGTAATTTTTAACCAATAGTATCTTATTACAGCTGTCAGTAAGGCATAAGATTATGATAAGAAATTGTATATGGTTATCCAATGATCTGGCAGATTAAGTTTGGGCTGGTTAAGGGGGGGTTAAGTTTAGTAATTAATAAGGTTTTCCATATAAAAACTTCTTTTTGGATTGGATACATGTTTTAATGAGAAAAATTTTCCCAATATATACTTGGCAAACTCTATATCCATTTTCTATTAAGTGTTTTTATGTTCTAGTACAAGAACTATTAGTTATCTAGTCGTCATCTGTATGTATTACATGATTGAATTATTGGTGAAGTGAGATTGGTACACTATAATAATGACTTGCTGTTACAAATGGATTGTGTCACTTTGCAAACTGATCTGACAATAACATTATTACATAAAATCAAGAAGATTGTAAAGTCCCACTCATTTATTTTTTGAATGCTGAATTAGCTCCATCTAAAAATATTACTTGCTCTAGGTTATTTTTTGAAGTGACAGCCTACAAAAACAATTGGCCTCTTAGACCTCTAGTTAATAAGAGGACAAATCCAATCTTTAATTTAGAGAGGGTTTTGTCAAAATGTCATTGGAACATCTTAGAAGTCTACCCATATGCATGCACATCTACAATAAATAAAAAGAAACAAGATTTTATCATTATAAAACTGATAGGTTAATGTCTGACAGACCAATTAACTCATCAGTTTCATAAAATAGATGTACTTATGAAGAATTTGGAACACAATTTTTAAGATACCCTATACCATCAATTTTTTCCTCATATACAAATCTAATCATTATGTTGATAATGTACTCATAGAATGGAATGAAATGACATGTACTGTACACATAATTAAAGATAAGGCTGGACTCAAACGTATGGTGGCCTTTAAGGAAAAAAGGGAGGAGGTAGTGAGAGAAAAGTAAAAGGTTTAGGATGGGAGGATGGAGGAAGAGGAGAATGGGAGGGAGGGACAGGGCTAAGAGAAGGGAGAGAGGAAGGGGAAATGAAATGACAAATTAATTCGATCAGTTTGTTCTTTTTTTTAAACAACATTATACCTACTATTAACTTCTCTGTTGAGTCTGAGTATTGAACAGTTGGGTTTTTGGATTTACTTAGCTGTTTATGACATAATTTGAGTTTTGGAATATATTATAAGCTCCTCCCAATTTAATCCCTAGTAATCACTATATGCTTATACACCTGCACCAACTGAGGTGAACAAGCATATGGTGATAGTGCTTTGATACTTAGGACTTACCTTCTAATATTGTTGTCATATTCATTAATTAGTAAAAAGTGAGTTGAATATGATCTAAGGAGGATCAACTAGCAAATTTAACAAAGATGATTATATCTTTCAATATATGTAAGGTACAATCTTCTTTGTTTTGTCACTCTCTACCCTATACATCAAACTTGAATATCAATTCTGTATATCAGCCATTCCTTATGCAAATAATCTGTCTGTAAAACTTGTTTATTTGCTTAAAAAACATGGGTAGATCCTATCAATTATTTCTTCTCCTAACTTAAGATGGTAATAGTCATTGACAGAAGTCCATGAATAATATGATTTTAAAGTCACTTTATTAGAGTATTCAGGTGTATACTCATGCTGCACTAATAATTCAGTCCTGAAATACATAGGATTGACAACCAAACTTATTTTTCTCAAATTATTGTGTTATACTTTTGCCAGCATACATTTGTAAATCTGACCAATAATTTGTATGATGCATCCTTGCAACTTTCACAGAGTACTAAATTGAAGAAGTACAAATGTCAAATTTTTCACAAAACTTTATAGAAAAATGTAAGGGCATTGGTTTATTCATCTTACTGGTTTAGTCATGTGAAGGTTTGTTGTCATGAAAAACATATCCATTCCAATATCAACTTTGTGATTTCAAATATAACTTTGGTATTTATGCTTTCATTTGATAATATTTTTAGTTGCAGAGACTAACGTAATTAATTTAAAATAAAACGTTAAAGCCGTCGACATCATTTTTACCACATTTGCATTTCACTTCCACATCGGTTTGATTTTATATATTGACTTTTTCATTTTAAAAATATTAATTTTCAGTGCAATTTATTTAAAAGATTATTTATTATTGTTTCTTCACAGGAAACTACACGTGGGTCCTATATTGGCTAACATGATAATGGAATTGTACAAGGAAGATGTCAGTAAGAGTCCATGGAAAATTTTATCAGTTCCTTCAAGAATCACCCTATTGATGTGTGCAAATGGATTTTTGAATAATATGGAACTTCTAAAATCTATTCCATTAAATATTATCCTTCTTGAATATGGACATCAGGTTGCTATTTGAAAATTTATTTTATGGCACATTTAAATTAAAGACTTTTACGTAATATACTCTTAAATATCCTGTTTCAAACTGGTATTGGTGAGAGAATACTGATACAAAGTAAATGTTACAGGAATATTAAAAAAAGAAATCACGAGGATATCCATTTTAAAAATTAATGGATGTTGCGATAAATTTCAAACAAGTTTTTATAGTTATAAATTAAAGGAGTGAAAAGTTAATGATTTATTTAAACTTTTGTTTAAAAAATAGTTATTAAATGCATTTCTATTTTTTAACAGGCCGAACATGATTATCAAATGCCGTGTAAGATGATATCACAAGTGGGGTAAGTTATATTAAAAATTATATACTGTTTAGAAAATTTCTTTAGTTTTTTAATTACATTTTGACTATATGTTGTTGTTATGATTAATTTTGTAACAGTTTAAGTTAATTTAAAATATAAAACCCAATAAAAACACTTGGAATATTGTAGAGTCAAAAAATATGTACAGATAAAACACTTTTTGAAACTATTCACCTCAATTTTAGATCCCATAATTGAAGCTCTGAAGCTGAGACATCCATAACTCCATATCATTAATATAGAGCATAAAGATTTTTATATATCTTAAGGTATATCATGAAAAAGTGCAAACATCAGTGTTAATTTTAAAGGAGGCAGATGAATGTATATAGATAAAAAATGTTAAGAAAATTTATATTGGAATATTATTCAATAATTAGTATTTTAAAAAAGGGAAAGATTAGACTTTATGTGACAAAATTAAAGCTATTTGTTTACTTATGAATAATTTACTGATATTTACCTTTGTTTTCATTAATCGGATAGTTATGAAATATATCATTCAACTGGTAGTAATGGATTGGATTTAAATCACTCTGAATTTAATTTATTAACAATTAGTGTTACTGTTCCTCTGGGGTTAAGCTTTCTGTTACGGGCAAGATTGAGCTAGTTACATGGTTTACAGTTGCTATTACTTTGGAGTAAAAGATCCATTTCAGTTCATGTATATATCACATTGGCCTGTATATTAGTCGATGTTTTCTCCCAATTTTGAACATTCAAAACAACCACTATTGTTTTATATTTGAGTCTTGATTTATATTCGTGTATGATTAAAGTATTCTTTGAATTCAATAACTGTCTGTGTATAGATAGTTATTGAAATTCAAAGAAAACTTTAATCATGAACATTGTATACAGTTAAATTGATCATCTCAGAAATCATTTTTATTTTATTTCTAAGAGTCGATTAATTGAGTGATTGTCAAAAATTGGGAGAAAGTTGTTGAAAATTAACCGCAAAATTTACTCTGTTGTAAAATATAAAGTATAAATTTACATATTTGGTATGATTATATGATTTAAACAGTTATAAAAAAATAAGAGGAACAAAAATGAAGCACAAAGTTTTAGTTTCATTTTCAATAGTTGTAAAATTGCAAGTTTTCTTTCCAAAATATATGTGAAATATGCAAGGAAGCCTACTTTCCTTGGTATAATGTAGTTTTTGGGCAGTCTACTACCTGGTGCATAAGACAGCATCTCAGTTTTGCTCTATAACTTTTATTAATTTCATTTTTATTGATGATAAGAAAACAAGCAATACGTTACAATTTGTCACGTGTTACACTTTGCATTTTAAAATTATGCATATTATTGCCATTTGAGAGTTACCTTATTGCTTCACTCAGTGAGATTACCCTGTATTTGACTCTCATAAAAATTTCTTATATTCTATTTTAAGATACGATTTATGCATTAATTGAATGTTAGATATGTTTTTATTTATCAATATTATTTATAAACACAGACTTTTATGATTTATAGGTGTAGAATTTAAAATAAAAATATATATTTTGTTTATAATTTTAAGACTTGCATAATTTTTTTCTCATAGGATTAGCTGTTGTGTGTGTACTGGAACATCAGCTTGGAACAGGTATGTTGTTTAATATATATATATATAAAACACTTCATATACGATAAGAAATGAGGTCCAATACCTCTGAGTGAAACTATCCATGAAAATTTTTGAGAATTTAATTTACATTAATTAAAGTGTGGGCTCCTCAGATCAGTAGACTGATGATTTTAGTACTTTAGTCATTCAGGCAATGCTAGAAAATTGTCTTAAATTTTTATTGTATTGTGAAACTTATTGACATTTTTTCAAGAAGAATTTGATGAAATAATAATAGTAAAAATTAAAAAATTAATTAATAATAAAATAAAGTTATTAAAAATATTATGTAAGTTAACATAGAGCATTATAAGAAAGTAAATTTTGAATATTAAATTAATTTTTTATTTTTCTTTGATTGTTTATAAGTTTTTAATCATACATCTTATGACATATTTAAAAATCAAAATGTTCAAAAATAATCACGTAGTGAATTTTTATTTAATTTTATAAGATATATATAGGCAGTCTGGTATGCTAGAATGAATGAATTGAATAAATGCTACAATAAACAGTTTTTATATGCAAAATTAAAATGTTACAATGAGAATAGATGCTACAGCAAACACAACTGACATAACATGTGCATGATAAGTTGAGGTTTTCCCATTTTGGTTACAGCATTAGTCATTGTCATTATTATAGTTTGTAAGGTTCATTTTTAAAATTATAATTTTAATTTTAATACAGAGAGCTTAATTAATTTAGACATTAAGAAAGAAATAATTTCCAAGTGAGAAAGTGGAAAAAGTGTAGGAGATCTGAGTACTGAATATAATATGGCCAAATCAATGATCAGTACAATTTTAAACAACAAGGAAGAAATAAAAAGTATATAAGTTGCAAAGGGAGTCTCTATATTAAGTAATTTACTTTGTAATATCATCAAACACATATACATGTATAGCTTAAAAAAGTTAAATAAATTTAATTTTATGTTATTTTTACACTTACACTTTTGATTTTGTTATATGGTAACTTTACTCTAGGCTGTGGACTTGGAATGGATTATACCTAAATACATATATTTTAATGTATGCTAGAATGAACAGATGCTATAACATACACAAAGTTTAGCATATCCCACAATATATTACACATTTTAGAAAATCCTATTTTGTTTAATTGAGGAGGATGTTAAAATTTACAAAAAATTAGTCTTGCAGGATGTCCAGAAGCAGCTATTAACAACATATATCATGCCATTCAAGCAAACTCCTATCAGAACTTAATGGGTTTGATTGTAGCTGACTGGGGAGGAAGTCCACATCACACTTCATTAAGTTTCAGTCTTCCTGGAGTTGTTGTAGGAGTGGGATTGGCATGGAATCCTTCAGTGCATTGGGTAAATAATCATTTTTCAGATTTCAATGAGAGAGGAAAGTAATTATTCTAGTTTTGATACATTACTGTCTTTTAGGATTACATAAACAGTCGTTTAACAGAATTGATCAACACTCATATAATATTGGATGCTGAAAATGTTCTTGCGCAACTGATATTGGAGCTAGGAAGAATTGAAACCTATTTACTGAGAGCGAGTCGCAAACAGGATGATCATGACATGTCCAACTTGCCTGAAGTTCAAGGATCTATTCTGCATCAACTTTTAGATGACACAGATAATGTCAATTTAGAAAATTTATCAGTTGATAGCTTTCAGGTAAGAAGGAAAAACTATAGATGAAAATTATTATTATTTTATTACAGATAATAGTTATAAAATTTGTTGAAAATTACAGAAAATAAATTAATTTATAATATATTTTAAATTGACTTTTATGCTCTACAATTCTTCAATATCTGCTTGTTTGGATTACCTGTATTGCTATTTAGATGTTTGTATTGAAGTAATTCAGTAAACTGATTTTGCAAAATCAGTTCATTGAATTACATCAATGCAAACATCTTCAGTATCTGTGTATGTGGAGAAATGAACATTAGATTTATTGTCTATTTAATTCTTTTCAAAATAATTTTAAAGTATTTGATGGCACTGAAAGATTTTCTTAGATACTATCATATTAAAAACAGAAATTTGATAATAGTTTATATTTTAAAATTTTGTATTGTCAAACACATTTTAATCCTTGTTGAACTTTTTTCAGAAAGTAATTCGACATGTTAAATATTGTCAGAGAGAACTACAGAAATCAAAAGCAAAATGTCATCAGAATGGTGAAATTATTTCAGAAATTCAATTAGCAACTGAATTAATGCTTTTTGCTTGCAGGTATGTTATAAAGGTTGTTCATTAAAAAATCTTAGTTGTATTTTAAATGCTAAATGCTCAAAACTTTTACATGCAATCATGCCAGGAATATTTTGTTTTGATAAATTCTGTTCTATTAAATTATTTTGATAAATTCTGTTCTATTAAATTATTTTGATAAAACCTATTATAAAAATTTTTTGATATAATGATCAATATCATTATCAAAGGCAGTGTGATAGCACTGCACCTTAATATGTTTGAATTGACAAAATGTCTTGTGACATATTCTTTTCAAATATACATTAAGGCTTGTATTCTATCAACAAATGTTTGATAATTGGATATACATCATTGAACCATCTTGAAAATTTATTCCTATTCTGAATAGGCACCTGACATATTCTGCAACCCACTGTGGAGCCAACATTAAAGACTCAATATACTCACAGAGAAAAAAATGATACAGGGAAACATACACTCTAATTGGATAAAATTAGGTCAGGAAGACACTATTGGATCCACTCACTTCACCCAAAAATGTGACTGGACTGCACTTGCAACATATACAAGTAAGCCCACAGTAGAGAGTAACACAACTAAAATTGTTAACACCTACTTCTGATTTAGTGTATTTTTGAAAAATGGGGCACAGAACATTTTTCTGAACAGCCCAACTCAGATCAGGTGCCCATTCAGATATACTGTATTCTTCATAGCTATGTTTCATATGACATTGAGCTAGACTTGAAGCTTAGAAGAATGTAAACCATTGGGCACATTTTTGTATGTTTTTAGTCCTTATCTTTTCATCAACAATTCCTAAGCACTGTTTTTGATTGAAAACTAAATAGCACCAAAATTGTGTATTTTTAGCTATTTTTCATGAAAAAATTTTCTCTTATTATGTTTGAGAGCATTTTTCAGGAAACTAGGATTACTGATGATTGAATTAATTTATGAAACGGTTGCTCAAAAAATTAATAACGACTGATGACCATTTCATCCTACATTTCTTAATGATGGTAAAATACTGGTTTATTAAATGTGAAATATTACAATTCTGATAATAAATAGTGATTAGGTTTTGCACAGTCTGATGTAGAAGCATTTATATCATTCTCTTTAACATGTAAGCTTATGTCACAATTTCTCTTTTAGCTATTTTACTGGTCAGATCAGATTTAAATATGATCTGGCTGATAAAAAATGGGATTTGTGCTGTTTTTGGGATATATAGTTTGGTGTGAAAAATAAGAAGAAAATTAAATGTCAAGTGCTTTTGATTTTCTTCAAAATTTAACCCATTTTCATTAACTTTTAATTTATTTAGTTTTTAGAAATATTAAATTTTACTTTTCAGAATTGGTAAACTTCTTATTTCCATCGGACGCAATCCAAATGAAACAATGGGTTTGGCTGTTATCAATGTTGGATTGGTTAATCTTCCTCCCACCTCCAGAACAGACTTAGCTAATAAGTAAGCGATCATTTATCTCATCCCTTTTTAATTTTAAATGATAGAAATTTTTTTCTTAGCATCATTTATAAAATGATAATGAGGAAAGTATCATATATGTTAGAATAAGCAGATTATTCATATAAAAATTATAACAAATTAATATTTATGTCATTACTGATTTAGGAAAAAATTCATATTGTTAATTTTTTCTTCTAAAGAGAGGAGATTTAACTTATTATTAGATTAACTCTGATTTATTATTACTGTTACACTCTAAGAAAGAGTTTAGTTGATGCTATTATATCATGCTTCAAATAGTGAAAATTCCTTAGACTGGTGTTTATTGAAAGTTAACTTTAAAGCTGTTTAATTAATTGTTTTTATTATCTAATCTTCAATAAAAGCCATCTGCTTGATTAAATTTTTTAAAATAATTCAGATAATGAATTTCCTAAGAAAAATCTTACTCAGATTAATAGTATTATCATGAAAGATGATTATTTTTATGAGAAATACATTGATTTTTTTCAAGTTTACTCTTTAAGTGAAAATCTTAAAAGATTTATAATTCTCTCTGAAGAAAAAATAACTCAATTTATCTCTCTGACTAAATACATAAAGAGAAATTGCCATTAAAATTATCAAATAAGACATTTAATGAAAATTTTTGATATCAAAACATAGTTTCTAGAGATGTTAGAAATGCTTAAAAAATATTATATGGTTTACTTAATCAATATTATTTATCTTAAAATGGCTAGAAGAAATATATGCTGATTAAATAAAATATTTTATTATAAAAAGTTTCTTCTAAAATATTACTACTGTTATATGATGAATTTTTAGTTTCTCTTGAAATTTTGATAATTAAATTTCATTAATATTGAATTCTGTTAATTTTGATATGAAATTTGGATATTTAAATGTTTATAATTCATATTCTGAGTGATCTAAACATATGAAACTTTATCCTGCTATTTATATAGCTTGTAAATGCTCTCATTTATTCATGAGGCTTTGGAACTTGAAATTCAGGCACTTGATTGCCTTTATGGCCTTGCTTCTGTACTTTTGTAAAGGATTTCATTTCTTGATCATTATTGTCATGATGAAAAGGGCCTTTTTTTAAAATTATTTCTGTTAGACTTAAATTCCTGACAGAAAATGTATAGATGACACTTTGTCTTTAAGAGAAACAACTGTTGTTGAGAGATATACTACATACAATCCGATTTAAACAATGAGGATCCCAAGATCAGGTTGATATTATATATCAGGTAGAAGTCGGTGTTGAATTATTGGTGACATTGATCTTTTTTACAGTTTGAAAGATGGTTTACTTGGAGATGTGTGAGGGACTAATCAGATTGTATGAGGGAAGGTTTAAAACCAATTGTGAAGTGATATTGGGGGACATAATCTTTTGAAACTCGATGCCTCATCTGTTTGTTCATCTGTTGAGTGGCTGTTCTTTTAAGTTGTCTGTCAGTTTTGTTCAACGTTATTGCAACTTTCTCATTCTCTTTACTGAGTTGCTTTGTACATTGTTCAAGACTAGTCTTGTCTGGATGGAATTTTCTTCTGTCATTCAATTGAAACATAGATGTAGACTTATTATTCCAAAATAATAGCCTACACACTGGACTTTTAGCAATTTTGTGTTTGTAGGGATGTTCCTATAGTCTGAGGTATTGTCAGATGATTATATCTCTCTCACTGTCTCTAGGAATTGGATTTTTTTAACAAGTTGAGTCATCTCTCATCTTGGACCCGCTACACCCAGATGCAAGTCCTACTTCTGCTCTTGTTGTCCCTGTTACGACTCTCCATATCAAAAGGAAATATGTTTAAATTAAATAAATTTGTCTTCTGATTGAGACAATAACCTGCAATTTCACATATCCATGCGTGTCATCTGCCCACAATTTTTAAATGTTTTCTTTCCTGTGAATGCCAGGAGAACTTTTATAACAGGCCTACCACAGATTCAGACAGGCGTTGATGTATGGAGCTCAGCATATCCAGACCAGACACCTTTGAAAATTTCTGACCTAAACTCAAACTTGGGTTGCTCATATACAAACGATGTTGTCTTAGCTATCTTGATTATTACTCTGGTAGGATACATAGTGCATGTGATAATTAGTTGATGATATGATATTGAGATACTTATCTTTTTGTTATAACCACTTTTAAATGGATGAATTCTATGGTCTGTTTGGAAATAGCTGTTAGTTTTTAGACATTGAGGAGATGTCATCCTGATTAATATTATAACCAATTTAACGATTCAAATTTTTTATTTAAATATCCTGAAGACAATTAAATTTTTTACCAGGTTTTCAGGCATTTTTAATATTTATTATCACCTGGTAAAGCAACTTTAATACAGCTGGATAAGCAAAAACCAATGACATTACTTGTTTCATTTGAAACAGATTGTCATTGGCTTGCTTATCCAGCTATATTAAAGCCACTTCCCTGGCAATGGACTCATAAGAATCCTAATTTGCGTCATTCTTCTGAATGATAACACAGAATATGTATTGCGGTATACGTTCATTGCTATTTTTATGCAAATAAGACGAAAAGATATCATAGAATTTAACATTGCAATTTTTGTTTTCTAGATTATTGGCTTTGATTGAGCAATACCGAGCAGTGTGGCTGAGCAGAAATCTACCAGTGGGTCTTCATGCATCCCTTCTGTTGTTTAACAACATCTTAAACAAATTAATTCCAGAAGATGTGGAAAATTCACGAGAGAGTCACTTTTCCATAGATACTGCCGATGTGTTGGACTACAACGGATCTGTATAGTAAATGGACTTTTTTTCTGATTAATAAATTATTTTCGTTATAAAAAATAATTTCTCTAATTCAACATAAGTTTGCAAAATTTCCTCTACAGAACATTGAAGTTTATTAATATTATTATTATTCAATTAAGTAGATTGTTACTGTATACACATTGTCTGAATATCAGATGTGGGCTAAGGAATCAGCTTGCTGTTCTAGGAACTCAGGTTCAAGCATAGATTGGATTTTCAAATTTTACTTGATGACCTGATTCATATATGCTAAGCTCCATTGTTTTCCCAGCTGTCCCCATTGTGGGCCTAATCATAATGGGTATGATTAGAAAGGTCCTCTTAGTGCCGAGTTAAAAAATTAAAAAGAAAAGGTTATAATTTTGATTTGAGTACAAAATGATTTGCAAAATAAGCATTAATCAATTCAGTTAATATTTTAAGTTAAAATTAGAACATGATGCATGTTTTCTGTAGATTAATTAATTTAATTTAAAGGTATTATTGCCATTGGATCTTAAGAGTCTCTTGTTTGTAAAAAAATAGATGTTTTGATTTAATACCATTGGAAGGTTATATTGTGATAGGAGAAAGCAGTGATAATATTTAAGTTACCTGACAACAGTGGTACAAATATCTATGTCTATCCTCATCAGATGTCTGATTTAATTTTAATTTATATTTGTTTATCAGTTTGTCAAGTTCTTATCAATGGATTAATGTAAGTTAATATGTTTTATCAACACTTAAAAATCTACTTTGCAAAATTTAAGATGACTAGCTGATGTAGACCTAATTTGTGTACGATTTTCAAATTGCAGATCTATACATTACCATTGTTGTCCATTGGTCTGTGTCTGTCCTCTGTTGGTCTTGAGAACAGAGTTAGATGAAAATTGAGACCAGATATGGAAAGCTTAGAGCTGGAGATGTGGATTAACGATATATGAACTTTTGATCTGGACCAAAAGTCATGCGATTTTTATTTTGTATGATTATAGACAGTTTTCTACTTTTTGTTTGTATAATTGTGCAACACTTAAACAATCTGCCGAGGGGTGACACCTCCTGGAAGTACTTAATACTGGAAATGTGCTCCCATTTATGTGTTACGAACTTGAATAAAACTTAACAAAACTTCACCTGGTCGAGGCACGAATCCACGACTACGGTCATTCCATAACCACAATCCACCCATGGGTAGGACTTATTATACTGATGTCAGAGTTCAGCAAATTGAGGAAACATTTTCAGAAAAACTATCTTTATTGTTCACCTGTTTCACCAACAGGTTAACAATAAATTCCTACTAATACATGTCCTAATAGACATTTATATAATAAATACTATAATAAGAACACAATTAATTAATTAATCCACCCATGACTTTGGATCTGAATGTTTTTGGCCCAAGGGTACTTAAAGGACTTTTCTAATCTACACCTTTCTAATCTACACAAGATGAAAAAATTAAACATTTTTCAATAATAAAAAAGTAAACTTTTTTTTAAATACAAAATATTTATTATTCTGCATCTAAGCCCGATACATTTTGTCAGAAGGTAATGTTATTCCAGATGTTGTTTATATTGTCATCACTTGCTTGGTGTTCGTCGTTACCACTTTTTAAACGAAACCTCACAATACCTCTTAATTCCTAAAAATACAAATATATATTTTCAATTAATACTAAAGAAAAAAATTGTAAGTAATATATTTTAAAAATTTAACTGACCTCACGGTGATCATACAGACAAAGATAAATCTGTAAGAAGTGAACAATATCTTTAGAAATTTTGAAATAAATTTATACTATGACTCAAATCTACATGTAAAAGAAATATAATCCTTACAAGTGCATTTTGCTTAATTTCTGGATGACAGAGAAATTTTTTATACGAATCCAAGCGACCGGAAGTTTGGAAGTGTGGGCTTAAACATTCGTGCAGAACATTGGCAAACTAATCGAAAATATAAAAACCAATTAGTAATAATCACGATTACAAATTTATGATTATTCTTATTTAATTGTAATTACATAAAGACAATGAAGTTGAAATGAATTTAAGTATTTGTAAATTTCCAGACTGCTCTTGCTACTGGTATGAATTAGTGTAAGTTAGCACACCTTTACCCGCCAAACATATTTAACCTTGAGCGTATTGATGGTAAAGTAGGTGGTATGCAATGGTGTTTAGATGTTAATGATGTTTGCCCCCTATTTAAATTATTATTATTAATTTTTTTAATTAAAATTTTATGACTATTTAAAATTTACAAGAAAATTTTTAAAATTTTCACAAGAAGTTTAACAGAAGAAAACACAGGGCTGTTTCATCTCTCTTCATCGTACATCCTGTTTTTAAAAATTTTCTTGTAAATTTTAAATGTATTATCATCCTCGCTTTTTATTAATTTTATTAATATTTTATGATGATATTTTTAATTATTTAAAAATGATTAATCTTAGTGATCCACTCCAAATTTGTCAATTAAAAATTACAGATGGTGGGTTTTTAATGCGTGGTATGCTAAAAGCGCCAATGTTTCCTGATTTGAAACAAGTATCCGCACTGAATACTTGTTTCAAAGATGCAGCATTNAACATGGAATTCATATAAAATGGAAAAATCGACAGTGTTATAGGGGGTTGACTGTATATAATATTACAAGATTTTTAATATAAATTATTTAAAAATGATTAATCTTAGTGATCCACTCCAAATTTGTCAATTAAAAATTACAGATGGTGGGTTTTTAATGCGTGGTATGCTAAAAGCGCCAATGTTTCCTGATTTGAAACAAGTATCCGCACTGAATACTTGTTTCAAAGATGCAGCATTTCCCTGTCTCTCTTCAGTATATTTTTCTGCAAAGGATTTGTTCCTAAACCGTGTGTTCTCTTTTAGCTAAAATTTCAACTCCTCTCTCACCAGGACATGTGTTAGATGTGGTTTCTAATCCCCAAAATATTTTTGAGGTTGCCGACCTGAGGTTTGAAATTTCAAGACCCTCTTTTTAGAAAATTTACATTATACCATTGAAACAAAAATACAGCAGGAGAAAATAAAATTAACACAGGATACACTTGAAATATACTCTTAATGCCTGTAACTAAACTGTTTTCCATATTGGCTCTGACGTGTCTTCAATTTGAACTATAGTTGATTTTCTTCAAATCTTCTGGAAGACCCAATTCTCCTCCTCCTTCCTCCCCTCTTCCTCCTCCCAATTTATAAACTTATTATGACCTTATATATAATTAATTGTATAATAAAAATTTCTTTTTAAAGTGTGTTGTTATTCTCCATAGTTAGATTCCTTTAAAGAACAAGTTTTTAATCTTAAAAATAAAAAAATTGTTTTATTTTCAATACACAGATGTCAGAATTATTGTTTCATCTCGTTTTTTTAAAACAGTATGTTTGTGTACAACTCACATGCTGAACAAAGAAGATTAAAAATATGGCAAATAGTGCTTTCATGCACTGATGTTTAAAGAAAATGGGTTAATTTAATTGGTTAACTGTAAAAATACCAACATATTATTAAATGCAGTATATAATTTTTAGAACATTATTAAAATCATTTATTCTATTGAAATAATTATCATATAGTTATTTTACAGTATCCACCCTTCTAAGTGATCTTCTGTGGCCTTTTCTTATATTCCCTCTACCAAATGACTAAACCAGAATCTGTGGTTTATGGATGAACCCTAACTCAAACTGCAAAAAATTCTCTTTTCTTGTCTGCTGTATTATTGTATCGTCACTTTACAATATTACACTAGAAGCAATTGGTTTTATAAACTTCAAATATTGTGGAGCAACATTCTGTACCAAAGAAATTTTGTCAGTTTCTTTAGGCAGGTTAGCATGTAGATTTTTATCTCTTAAATTTTTAAAATTAGGGTCCAGGAGGCGAGATCAAACTGTATCATCATCAATTGGAAATCTTTAAATTTTTCTTGTATTATGCTTTTAAATCTGTAGTAATTGTAGTGTCATTTGCATCTGGCTCGAGTACACTCCGTATTTTGGTTTTAAATAATAGCATTAAATTTATTGTGTGATGTGAGCAGTGCCGGCCCGAGGAAAGTTTTAGGATGGAGCGAGATCCTATTATGGCGCCCCCCTTGGTTGCCCCTAATTTGTACCATTGAATTTTCTTTACCACCAGGAGCCCCCTAGGACTTAGTGCCTGGAGCGGCTGCTTTGTTCGCCCTATGGTAGGGCTGGCTCTGGATGTGATAAAAATTTAACTGACCTCACGGTGATCATACAGACAAAGATAAATCTGTAAGAAGTGAACAATATCTTTAGAAATTTTGAAATAAATTTATACTATGACTCAAATCTACATGTAAAAGAAATATAATCCTTACAAGTGCATTTTGCTTAATTTCTGGATNCTCTGGATGTGAGGATGCTTTCATAACTTTCACAGCTTGCTAAACAATCTTAAAAATGATACCAATTCCTTAATCTTAATACTAAAAGCAATGATTCACACTTACTATTGTGTAATTATCACACCAATAACATGTGTATGAATAGGAGAATAAGAAGATTCTCCTATTCAAGAAAAGAGATGGAGAGATAACATCAAGAAGAACAGAAAAAAAGAAGTTAAATAGTCAACTGTGGTATGAGGGATGATAAAAAGATGGTTTGAGTCTGTGTATTTATCAGGAGAGTACTGATGAACATCAAGACCAAAACAGGGTATTTTTAGGAGTATAAAAGCAAGAAAACAAAGTAGAATTCAAGAGTAGGAGAACAGGAAGATCAGAAGAAGATAGAGAAATAATTTCAAGTACATAGAGGAAAAAGAAGATTGAAGAGGGTAAAGGAGAGATAAAGAGAAGGTTTAGGATGGATGTTTATTAGGAATGTCCTGATAAACACTCAGATCCAAATTAGGAGATTGGAACAAAAGATAAGGCATAGAAATATATCTACTATCACTAATGTGAACTTAGAGTTGGTTAAATTATTTAAGAATCGAAATTAAATAATAATTTAGCAATAATTAAATACTAGTAAATAATTATAGTTTAGTTAATTTTAAAAAATTTATTAGATATAAAATTTATAGAGATTAATAAATGAAAGAAAACCAACCTTTTCTGCATCTTTATCACTTTGAATAACAAAATTCAAAACCTGATAAATAGTATCCTTTGAATATGCTGAAATATAACGAAATATTAGATTTAATAAAATTTAATGGGAACATTTTACTAATTAATATCCTTACAGCACAATATTTTAATTTGTTCTGGAGTTGCAGCATAAACAATAACACACAAAGTAAGTGTGAAAACAATTGAAGAAAAGGTCTTCATCTTTCTTTTTCTACATTAAAATTAATTCCCAGCAAATATAAATTGCCAGTTGAATTCTATTAGTCAAGTTGTTATGATTTTAAGAACCGCAAATGATTTCCCGTTGTTGCAAGTTTATCGTTGCAGGAAGTAAAGTTAATTAATTCCTGTTTGTAGATTGATTTTAACTTATTAGAATTTCTTATAATGTTTATCACAATTTATATTAATTAGCTTTAAAATTTTTTAAAATTTGAATTATATTTTTCTGTGGGTGGCCCAAAAATCAATTAACCATTTCAGACTAATTGTATAAGTTGCCTTTGCTTGACAAAGTTTACAAAGGTTATTAAACAATTTATTATAATTCTAAACCATTGTACATGTACAATACATGTGTATGCATATTGCTCACAACTGTATTGCTTACCAAGTACAGCCAGCTCTTTGATATCTTCGGTTAACTAATTTTGTGGCCACTTGTACAATAAAAGTACTTTCTAGAGTAATTCTCAATATAATGTGGGGGTAATAATGGCAGAATGCATAGGGTTTGTCGTGTATGCAAATTTGCCTCTGTTAGACTATTTTGTAGCGAGACTTCTGCTTGTCTCTGAATGGTGGACAAATGCGCCACATTACAGTTATAACAGAACGGCCAGACGGCGGTCATTTTGCTTTCCTCAGAGCTCAGACTGATGATGCGGCCTTTCTCAGCTGTACGTGTAGTCTTTGACCGCTTCGTACAGGCTTGCCGGGCCTTCAGAGACCTCCAAATAACAGGCATACTGAAGATTCTGAACATAGCGAGCCTTTTTATACTCTATTTAGGTCACAACTATAATCGTTTGCACACCTGTATGAGCCAAAACTTTAGACAATTTTTTTGCAGTAATGAACAATTTTATATGAACATGTAACTTTTTTGTCAATGAGTATAATACAGATCTGTTAGAGGAGCTAAGGAACCAAATGATGGTAAAAAATCACAAGTTTTTCAAGTAAAAATAAAAAAAAAATTTTTAGCACTCCAAGATTTTTAACATAAAGTATGTAAACACTAGAGACGGCGCACTCTTATTCTCTTATGTTGCATCACCATGGATTTGGCTGAGAATCCAATATGGCGGTATATTGAGGACGATTCGAATGAAAACAATTGAGTGAAACGTATATTATCCAAAGCAATTACAATTGTAAAATAATCTTTTACATTTAGATTTTTAAGATTTAAAATCATAATACGAAAAGAATTCTACGTTTAATTGGCATCGATCAATTTTTCACAGTTTACACTATTTAATTTTTATATAAATTTTCCATACTTAAATAATGTTTATTGTTAAAACATTATAACAATTACACATTGGTGTGTAATTGTTATAATGTCTATTAAAATTTTGTGTAATATCTCATGGTACGTACTTATAATTCTTTGTATAATAATATACATATACATACATAAATATTAATATTTTATAAGACGTTTTTAAATTGTTAATTTGGAAACCTCAAGAAGAAATTCAGGAGTTGTATTTCAATTCAGCAATGTAGCGTAAATTAAATTAAAAATGATAAAAAAAGAGCAAAAGATATAAAAGCTGCTGAATATCTATTGTTTGTAATTGTTGATTGACATACATTTGAATACTTCGAACAGGTAATATTTATACTTATACGCTTTGAACATTTACTACTTTGTGTAGAGATTCGTATTGCGTTATTACTTTACCGAACATTCGGTAAAGTAATTGCAAAATAAGAAAATATACAGTACATACCACATTGATTTATTATAAGGATAACTCTTGAATTACAAATTACAATATAAACATAAATGTCATCGAATTATCGGAAAATAAACTTGATAAATACTCTCAGGGCCGGCCATCGGGGGGGTGCGGCGGATGCTGTGCACCGGGGCCCCGCGATTGAGGGGGCCCTAACATTGTCAAGAATGCACAAGAAAACTCGACAATATTCCTATCGTTGTCAGTATGACGAAAAGTACATTTTATCGTAAACATTATTATTGTAATCTCTGAATTTCGACAATCTTCAAACTAATTCTCGGTGATGCGAATGTTTAGTTTTTGTTATTTGATTCGGGAAACTCCCGAGAATCCCCACCTAAATTCGACTTTAAAAAAAAAATCTCAATACCATATAGCCCGCGTTAAGAAAGGAAATAATACTGTGGCCGTCGGCCATATAAAATTATATGTATATTTGCATATAGTCGTAGTTTTAAGTAAATACGACTCTGTTCTAATGTATCATATAAACAGAATTGTGCATCATTTAGCACATAGATCACAAGAACAAATTATTTCTGCGTTAGGAGATGAAGTCCTTAACAAAATTAAAGACGATATAAAAGCAGCCACATACTATAGTATCCAAATGGATTGTACTCCTGATATTTCCCATAAGGAACAAACTTCAATTATTATTAGGTATGTAAATTTTGAAGAGAAAAGATTAATTATAAATGAGTCATTTATAAAGTTTATTGAAGCAACTGATGTGACTGAAGAAGGACTAGCAAAAACTCTATTGAAAACATTAAGTGAGCTTGATTTAGATATTATGAATTGTAGAGGGCAGGGATACGACAACGGTAGCAACATGAAAGGGAAATATAAAGGTGTACTGTACAATCTAGAATAATTGCTCTAAACCCTCACGCAATATATGTGCCTTGCCTATCACACTCTTTTAATTTATTAATTTGTGATGCTGCTTCCAGCAGTATATATTGTAAAAATTTTTTTGGGATATTGCAACGTTTATATTGCTTATTTTCTGCATCTACAAAGAGATGGGAAATTCTACAAAAGCATTTAAACATTACTCTTAAACCATTATGTGACACTCGTTGGGAAGCCAAAATAGATTCGGTTAAAGCAGTGTATATGTTACTGTGAAAGACCGAAATTAGAGAATGTCGATATTCTCCGGTAAATGTCGACACATACAAAATACGTCGGTGAAAGACCGAATATTTGGTTATATTATTAAACATTCGAACAATCGCCGGTGTATGTCGACAAGCACAGATAAGCTTTGGTGGAGGTCGAAACGACACCCGAAAAGCCGATGTCGACAGAGAGGCGACAGTCTGTCGCCAAATCCTTTGTGGATAGTCGGAGGTAGGACAAGGTCGTACCTCTTTTCCTGGCAACGGTTTGGTGGAAATCGCCCACTTTGTCACTGGATGGAGTTTTTGTTCTTTTGATCCCGTGAGGTGGGGATCGGTTAGTCAGGTCGAGTGGCGGAGGATGAGAGGGTTCGTCGGTAAGGCGTCGGCGATATCCGAATAAAAGACACCATTAACAGATCAGTTCGTAATCACGTAATTACGTAATCAGGTTGTAATTTGTAAAGAAAAGTTACTTTTCATAGATGAGATTTCTTCTCAAGAAATATCGCTGAGTAAAGCAGCTACAGCTAAATCGAAAGTAGAGGGTAAGGCTATACAGTAGACTCTCCTATAACACTGTAGATATTTCCGTGTTATATGAATTCCATGTTGTACGAGTCACTTAGATTTTACAAATACGTGAGCCGTTCACAGCCCGACACACGTATTTGTAAAATCTAAGTGACCCCTACAGTGTTATAGGGGTCTACTGTACACGCTGTCATTGCAAAAAGAAGTGTTCCACGAATAAATGCAGTTGTAAAAGCGAGGGACTCAAAGTGCCATAAGAGTTTAAGTTATTGCAATAAATAAGATTGTACAACGTCAATCACATAATTTATGTGTAAGTTTATTATTGTATTATATTCTTTAATGATTTAGAACGTACTGTTCGTTTTAGGTTCAACAGTTTATTTACATGTGCCGTTACTTAAGCTTTCTCCTATTTTGACATATTAACGTAATAAAAATATTTTTATTGAGCATTCACCATCAGTGCGTGCCGAATGTCGACATTTGCCGGTGTAAGTGAGAAATGATTATATTTAGCAAATATTTCGTACATACACGAAACGACTGTGTGAATGTTGACATTCGCCAGATATCGGTCATTCACAGTAACATATACACAGTTTGAACAAACTTGTAATGCCCTAGAAGAATTTATTTATGTAAGTAACGATAATACAGCGGTATCCGACGCTAAAAGTCTATTGGATTCAATACAAGAAATGCCATTTATTTTATGGTTTGCAATGTTGTGTAAAATCAACGCTATCAATATTATTTCAAGCAAAAACAATTATTCTTGAGTCGGCTTTTAATTTAGTCAATAAAATTAAAACTGAAATCCAAAATTTAACACATTTTTAGACGAAGTAAAAGTGCTAGCACGTAATTTGAATATTTCAGAACATTTTCCTGAAAAAGGAAAAGGTTATACAGTATTCCGAAATAGCAGGTGAAGCTTTAGAAAACCCGGTAGAGGAATTTTACATGTTATTTTTTTAACACTCTAATTGATACTGTTCTTGTACAAATAGAAGATAGATTTAAAAGTATACCAAATATTATTTCTGATTTCAAATTAATCACTGATATGAAAACCTTAGAAAAACATGAATTAGAAAAATGTTCCATTATAACAAAGATATAGATGAAAACCTAATCCAGGAAATTGGTTTGCTACGGGATTTGATTTTGAATGAAAGGGATGTAAATAACGCACAACACATACTAAATAATAATTATAATGAGTTATTTCTAAATGTATTAAAACTTTTCTTTGCGTTGCCAGTTACTATAGCAAGTGCTGAGCGCTCTTTCGGCAAATTAAAATTAATAAAGAATTATCTTCGATCCAGCATGTGTGCAGAAGGCTTAATGCATTTGCTATATTAAGCATCGAAAAAGAAATTTCAAAAATTATAATTTTCCTGAAGTAATTCGTGTATTAGCGAGAACAAAATCACGCTTTAAATAAACATGCATTAATATATGTTCGTGTTTGTAATTTTTTTTATTTTACAAAAAATGTAGGGCCCAAATAGTTTCTTGCACCCGGGCCCCTTCATAAGAAGGCCGGCCCTGAATACTCTGAATAGAATAGATCTAAAACATAACCACCCATAACTACTGTATACTTAGAAATACAAAGCTTAGACAAATATGAATTTTAATTTGTAGATAGAATAGAAACTGTTTTCACATCTGCTCATGGTGGTCGTGGGCACAGTGTCAGATTTCTGCACAAGCAAGCGAGGTGCGCCTGAGATCTCATAAATCAAGAGGGTCTCAAAATTCAGCTCTCAAAATAAAAAACTAATAAATAAAATAATTTTTTCATTATAAAAATAATTAATAATTTAGCAGTATCAAAAGGTTACTGATGTTCAGATTGTATTATGAAAATTGAAACTTATTGGTACAAGAATTATTAAGTTTTATTAGGTAAAAGAGCCAAGCGGTTGTAATTTTATATTGGTTAATTTTCAATGTTATTTCCCTATGTCTCACTTTTTTTTGGACCACCGGTATAATGTCTACCAGAGTAAAGAACGTGCACACTGTAGGGTGTAGTAGTAGTGAAAATATTTAGAGGGGTCTCAAAATCGAATTGAGTCTGAAGTGGTAAATCCGCCGCTATGTCGGTATTATCCTGTATTCCATCAATAAACAGAAATGAAACATCATTTACATCCCCTTACAGTTTGGGCGTTGAACTCTCCTACTGTCGTCTCTTCGCATTTCTTAATGAATATCTTGGCCGAAAAAGGTTTGAAATTAATTAGGACATAACATAGACTCTCAAGGAATGGCTACACCTTCAACCAAAAGAATTCTTCCTCGGGGACATCCGCAATCTGGTTTGAAATGAACACGAGCCAACGGTTCATCTCCACCGTTAGTGCATGTACAGTACATCTCATATCAGAGGGATAACGTTGGAAAGTGGATCTTTTAATTCTGTAAGTGGATCACGATTTTTGTTTTATTTACAAATTACAGTTCGTGTTTGTCAAAACTTCGTATGGTCTAACACTATATTAGTAATTGAATTTCCAATTAACAATAATTGTGTATAACACAATTATATATATATATATAATTATATATATATATTAATATTTAATATATATATATATATTTTATATATTACTAATAAATACTTCACACAACGTACTGTACATAAGTGTATCAAATAGTCATAAAATTCAACCCATTAAATCATTTCATTTTTTACAAGTAATAGTGGTAATGTCACACGCAAACGCCATAACCTCATCGCCGTTCAATATACATTCTTATTCCAAATTTTGGTCGCAGAATGGTATCTAAACTTTCGAACATCTTGTCGCGAGAATCCAATGAATAAACTTTAAAATTTCGAATGACGTTGGCCAGGACAGTCTTCATCTCCATCGTGGCGAATTTTTGACCTACGAAAATCATATTTTAGTAGAAATACGATAATTGTTTTTAGAATGGATTAATTTTTCTCACCGATGCAATTACGTGGACCGGCAGAAAAAGGTAAAAATGCGTACGGATGACGTTTCTGGAAATTCTCTGGAAGAAATCGATCCGGATGGAAAATTTCTGGATTCTCGTAGACGGTCGGATTGTGATGAAGTGCATAAATACATATCATAATGGAAGAGTTTAGTGGTAATATAATGTCTCCTGCAAGCCCAAAACACACTACATGTTGTTATATATTCATAAATTCTTAAAATAAACAGATGTAATATACAATTAAATTGCATATACATTCATTTTTACAGTACTTGCCTACTTTCATTTCTGAAACGTTTCTTCTCAGAATTAATGGAACAGGTGGATAAATTCTGTTCGATTCCTAAAATAATAAAAATCCAGCAACGAGTTGCCTAACTTTTCAAGCGAGAAATATTTTAAACAAGAAACATATTAGCAACAATTTTAACAAGGTCTATAAAAACAAGATTAGGATACCAATATCCCATATGGAGCCGCCTTATTGGGTCCGTAGTTTCTAGGTTAGAGTATAGATTTAATGCTGCTACGTGCAGTAAACTGCACGATAAAACAAGAAATCCAACTAAGATCGAAACAAACAAACAAACAGACTCGCTCTAGAAGCACCGTATACACAATCTCAAAAGACCCAATATGGAGACTGCCTCGATACATCACGGTATCGTGTCCAGACCTTGTGTTTATAGACTTTGGTTTCAAAAATTGTGTGTGGCGCTATCCGTAACGAGATATTATTTAAGAAATAACCCTTATATTATTAATTACACGTTATCGTGCTCCACTCACACGCTAACATTCAAAAATACAGAAAAATATCTAACTTCCAATTTTCTACGTTTCAAAATCTCGAGTCCAAATATGAAAAACTATTGGGAGTGATTTTTGACTAATTGCCATATTACCCCTCTATTATATATCAGCTGGACAAGTCAGATAGATCTTTGTAATATTTTTTTTTACATAAAACTTTTAGAAGAATACCTGTATTACACATTCCAAGTATTTCATCTTTCTTAAATCTTCTGTATTTATCATTCTATCTTCCTCTTCAGCGAAAATCTCTTTCAATTCCTCAAACACCTTTTCTTGAATGTCTTGATGCAATCCTAAAAGATATAAAGTCCATCCGATACCCATGGTTACAGAAGGGAATCCCTAATTTTAAAATACCAAAAGATGTAAAAGTAAAAAAGAAGAATTTAATGCTTTTTCGTTTGAAGTGAATATTATTATTTACAGCAATCATAAATGTGTCGACTTCCTCTTTGACATCTTTTTCAGAGAGAGTTCCATTTGTCAGGTGATGAAACAGAAGCAAATCCAGAAAAGCTCGCTTCTTCTTTATTCCTAAAGTCTTTTCCTCTCCTTGAAAATCATCCATGTGTTGATTTCGTTTGATTAATTCTGTTCTTTCTTTGATTACCTGAAAAATAATTCGAAAATTAAATTTTATCGATTCGATAGAGTGAATCGCAGGTTTACCTTTAAGTGGAGTTGATGGACTATTCTTCTATACTTTTTGTTGATTTCTATCAATGGGTTGAAGTAAGAGAAAGGACGAAACCAAAACCACGGTTTCATTAGCGAATCAGCAAAATGTGATGTAAGTCTATATTTTAAAATGTAAATAAACATTGTTAGGAATTTTTAACTTTTTTTCTTTACGGCATTTTTTTTTTTGGCAAGCCCAAAGTGGGTGACACCGGTCCCGCAATTAAGCGGTTGGCTGTTGAGGGACAAAGTTCCACGAATCTGGACAAAATATCCCCAAAAATCCACGGGAGTTAACTATATATCACAGTAGTGGCTAAAACTTTCTGGGATAGAAACCCCATATCGCGTGTCAGAAAATATGTAAACCGCTTACTATATCAGAGCAGTATTTTATATATTGATACAACGTAAAGAGTTCTACTCTCTCTATATATACATATATGTGTACACTAGTGAAATAGCATCAGTCGGACATCTAATCTTAAATAATAGCAAATACAGAAATATAAGGAGCTCAAAATAGAGTCTAGAAGAGCCGCAGTTTGGCCATTGTGAATGTATTGTAAGGGATAAGACCAACTCGGCCCAGAAAACAAAGGATTTACATTTTCTTTTCGTTGGTGCCGTTTCTGGAAAGGCGTGTTCTTGGATATCGTTCGGGCCCGGTGACAGGAATATATTGCAATGACATATCAGTACTATATAATTAATTTTCGATTAATTAAGTCATTCGCGAAATTTACTTGTAATTATAGTCACTTACCGTTCGACGGCTTGCACATATTCGGTGTTGGAATCATCTTGAGCGTTTATATGAATCCCCATTGCAGATTCTGTTAAATAAAATCAAATATATCCCATTGTTTACAGAAGTATAATCACTGATAAATATAATCTCACCCGTAATTACATCCAGAGTGCAACGTGAAGTTAATTGAATTACATCAAACACCTCGGATTCACGTTTATCTTTTAACATTCGCACTAATGTTTCCGACTTTCTATAAAAGATTTCTTGGAAATCTTCGAGAATTCGAAAGTGAAATGCAGGATTTAACATCTTTCTTCGTGTCTTCCATTTGTTGTAAGAGCTGTTTTTAATAACAAAAAATGAGAAATTTTGGAAAACAACAAAATATTAGTGAATAANGTTTCCGACTTTCTATAAAAGATTTCTTGGAAATCTTCGAGAATTCGAAAGTGAAATGCAGGATTTAACATCTTTCTTCGTGTCTTCCATTTGTTGTAAGAGCTGTTTTTAATAACAAAAAATGAGAAATTTTGGAAAACAACAAAATATTAGTGAATAAAAATTTTTAAAATAACTTTTTGGCTCTTATTACCTAGTAATGAGTCCTGTTCCGATTAAAAAACGGAACTTATTATAAAAGGTATCTTTGTTAATCGTGTTATAACTTTTCAATACTTTCTGCAACCAAATAAACGAGTTATTACATTAAATACAGGCATTTGTGCAGAATAAATTAAAGAACTAATTCCTACTTCAATTGTTTCGGGATGAGAAAACAGAAAATAATTACTTCCGTTGACAGAAATTTTTATCGCTTTTTCCTTTGGATTTATCAAGCAAAATCCTTCTAACATTTGAAGAAGATCTTTAACAAGACAAAATACGTCAATTCAGAAATTATATTGTAATAATTATTATTTGATTAATTATTTAAATCAACTTACACACGTCAATAAACTTTTTATAGTTTAGTGCTTTACTAGGACAAAAGATTAAATTCCATAATAATTGATACGTGAGGAATCTGAAATGTGTTTGTCTTCCTTCATTCGCTTTCGTCTGGCATTTCCAGCTCTTAACCGAGAGGTAAACAAAGATTAAAAACACTGCGACTAATGCAAATACGAATTGCTTTTCGAACAATATTTCCATTTTCGTTGTTGTTGCTGTTATTCAAAAACAATTTCTTAATTACCAATTGCGAATAATTAACAATTAAATGCATTAAAGCATAAATAATTAAAATGTTGCATATTTTTAACATTTTTAATTTATTTTAATAATTTAAATTGAGAAATGAAAATCGCTCATTAAATCAGTAGATTTATATTAGCTGGACATAAGCTGTGTAGTGAGAAATTTAAGTTGTGTAGTGGGAATCCAGTATTTAGCAGTAATTAATTGTCCCATTCCAGAATTATAAGTATATTTTTCTTATGTTTATGTTAAAGTTAAAATATTTACCTTAATTACTCAGCGGATATATTATTCCGTCCACGAATAAAGCGCTATCGAAAGAATTTTTGTAAAATTTACCATTTATATCGAATATATAACTTAATATTGTTCTTAATTTCCATTTATGTCTTTTAGAACAGTGTGAGATCGGTGTCACGAAACCTCGCTCACCTATTGAGGATGGTTATTATTTTATATATTATGTAGTGTATATAGTATATTATATATTATTTTATATATTATATTATATTATATAGTGAAAGAAAGGAAATCGTGAAATCTCCTTTTTGTCAGTTCCTGACACCAGTTAAGAAATAACGTGTCTTAACTCGCGACAAAACTTAATTTAAACATCGTGTGAAAGGAGGAAGTTTACGGCTCGGCAATGGAATAATCCACAACGAGAAAAATTTGAAAGAAATTCTTGAACAAAATCAAAAATTAAATTTTATATAAACTATAGATTAAATAAAACACGAGTACAATTCGACTCCAAATAAAACAGATAAGAGAGAGAGAGAGAGATGAGTTTACAATAATATATGTATAATACCTCTAATGGTGGTTTCTTGAAGGTTTTGATCTTTCGACAGGACGTCGAGAGAACTGAAGATCTTCGAGACACAGAAACGAAAGAATCTTTAAAGAACCGACTGTGAGGAGTGAATACTTAAAGAATTCTAGGAGAGAACTCTTGGAAGACGAGAACTGTTAAAAACGGGATATTCTTTCCTTTAATCCCCGAATCTCTTCTAATCGGGAGTCATTATGACACACCGTGTGACGGGATCCAAGAGGTGAGTTGTCAGCAACATATGAGAAAATTAGCTTGATTATAGGAAATGATTTAATCTTGGCAAAAACTGCATTTACTTCATTACTCAAATTCGAAAGTAAAAGAGAATTTAACAGTGGCGTGCGATGATATTTGATGATGGGAGGAAATCCATAAAAGTTATAAATACTGAAAATGATAAAAATAAACAGTGTATTTATTTTAATTATAAAATAGATTATTCACACGAAAGAAATAATAATAACTTGTTTTTATTATCTTTTATAAACCAACTTTATTCGGCAATTTTTTTTCCGCAAAGTCATTGATTACTTTATCATAAAAATCGCTTATCGTCGATTCAATCGAAGTATTTAAATGCTTTTTTTTTCTATCGAAAGCAACACTAGTGACTACAATCTTTCTTGCAGCAATTGTAGTAACAGAATCTCATTGTTCTGGACTTTCAACAACAAAAGCTGGATTCTATTTAGGTGTTACTAACGTCAAGAAAACCCGGAAAACTCCAGCTTGTTGGCCCTGTCCGAACTTCCCACTAACTAACTATCAGTGTTCGGTGGTTTTGTTCACTCGCCTATTGGAAGGTGCTTATTAAAATTAAGAAAGTATCGTTCAGAAATGAAAAATTCCGAGTTATTAAGTTAAATCCCGATAAGGAAAATTCAATACTTATATACTTACTATAGACTTTTCAGAGGGTAATACTTTAGATTCAACTCTGGCAAGTGCTATGTGCTACCAGTCGCCATGTTTTTGCCATACGAAAATATCTGATTTCGTGGTCTCTTCTGGATAGACCGACATGCTGGACAATCTGGAAAATACGGTTAACTAATTAATGAACATATGAAAAATCTACCCTAAACACTAGATCGTGCATAAGAAAAGAAGGGAGACGAGAAAAGAGCAGGTTAAATGTTTCGGGCCGAAACCATAGTTTTTTAAATTTCACCTCACGGAGTAATATTCAGGAACTTCGAGAAGTCCTACGAAAATTTAATTAAATAGAAAATATAAATCTATTTGTTTTGCACAAAAGAATTGAGTAATTTGCAATAAAACGTAAAGTCAGTGTAATTGTTTAATAATTTAGCAATATACAGTACTTAAATACTTAAACATGACTATAAAAGTTTTAAATTCGATAATGATTTATAGACTAGGGATATTTTTAAACTAGGACAGGATTAGATGCAATAATAAGTAAAGTCAGTGTAATTGTTTAATAATTTAGCAATATACAGTACTTAAATACTTAAACATGACTATAAAATTTTTAAATTCGATAATGATTTATAGACTAGGGATATTTTTAAACTAGGACAGGATTAGATAAAATAATAAATAGCACACAAAATCTGAATATATCTAAATTTTAATTATTCTGTGTTCTAATGTATGTGAGAAGCGGGGGGTTAGTACCCTCAGCTTCTCACATACATTAGAACAGAGAAGACTAAGGTTCTCTGTTCCCTTTTGGTCGGTGTTTATTTTAATAATTTAAATTGAGAAATGAAAATCGCTCATTAAATCAGTAGATTTATATTAGCTGGACATAAGCTGTGTAGTGAGAAATTTAAGTTGTGTAGTGGGAATCCAGTATTTAGCAGTAATTAATTGTCCCATTCCAGAATTATAAGTATATTTTTCTTATGTTTATGTTAAAGTTAAAATATTTACCTTAATTACTCAGCGGATATATTATTCCGTCCACGAATAAAGCGCTACCGAAAGAATTTTTGTAAAATTTACCATTTATATCGAATATATAACTTAATATTGTTCTTAATTTCCATTTATGTCTTTTAGAACAGTGTGAGATCGGTGTCACGAAACCTCGCTCACCTATTGAGGATGGTTATTATTTTATATATTATGTAGTGTATATAGTATATTATATATTATTTTATATATTATATTATATTATATAGTGAAAGAAAGGAAATCGTGAAATCTCCTTTTTGTCAGTTCCTGACACCAGTTAAGAAATAACGTGTCTTAACTCGCGACAAAACTTAATTTAAACATCGTGTGAAAGGAGGAAGTTTACGGCTCGGCAATGGAATAATCCACAACGAGAAAAATTTGAAAGAAATTCTTGAACAAAATCAAAAATTAAATTTTATATAAACTATAGATTAAATAAAACACGAGTACAATTCGACTCCAAATAAAACAGATAAGAGAGAGAGAGAGAGATGAGTTTACAATAATATATGTATAATACCTCTAATGGTGGTTTCTTGAAGGTTTTGATCTTTCGACAGGACGTCGAGAGAACTGAAGATCTTCGAGACACAGAAACGAAAGAATCTTTAAAGAACCGACTGTGAGGAGTGAATACTTAAAGAATTCTAGGAGAGAACTCTTGGAAGACGAGAACTGTTAAAAACGGGATATTCTTTCCTTTAATCCCCGAATCTCTTCTAATCGGGAGTCATTATGACACACCGTGTGACGGGATCCAAGAGGTGAGTTGTCAGCAACATATGAGAAAATTAGCTTGATTATAGGAAATGATTTAATCTTGGCAAAAACTGCATTTACTTCATTACTCAAATTCGAAAGTAAAAGAGAATTTAACAGTGGCGTGCGATGATATTTGATGATGGGAGGAAATCCATAAAAGTTATAAATACTGAAAATGATAAAAATAAACAGTGTATTTATTTTAATTATAAAATAGATTATTCACACGAAAGAAATAATAATAACTTGTTTTTATTATCTTTTATAAACCAACTTTATTCGGCAATTTTTTTTCCGCAAAGTCATTGATTACTTTATCATAAAAATCGCTTATCGTCGATTCAATCGAAGTATTTAAATGCTTTTTTTTTCTATCGAAAGCAACACTAGTGACTACAATCTTTCTTGCAGCAATTGTAGTAACAGAATCTCATTGTTCTGGACTTTCAACAACAAAAGCTGGATTCTATTTAGGTGTTACTAACGTCAAGAAAACCCGGAAAACTCCAGCTTGTTGGCCCTGTCCGAACTTCCCACTAACTAACTATCAGTGTTCGGTGGTTTTGTTCACTCGCCTATTGGAAGGTGCTTATTAAAATTAAGAAAGTATCGTTCAGAAATGAAAAATTCCGAGTTATTAAGTTAAATCCCGATAAGGAAAATTCAATACTTATATACTTACTATAGACTTTTCAGAGGGTAATACTTTAGATTCAACTCTGGCAAGTGCTATGTGCTACCAGTCGCCATGTTTTTGCCATACGAAAATATCTGATTTCGTGGTCTCTTCTGGATAGACCGACATGCTGGACAATCTGGAAAATACGGTTAACTAATTAATGAACATATGAAAAATCTACCCTAAACACTAGATCGTGCATAAGAAAAGAAGGGAGACGAGAAAAGAGCAGGTTAAATGTTTCGGGCCGAAACCATAGTTTTTTAAATTTCACCTCACGGAGTAATATTCAGGAACTTCGAGAAGTCCTACGAAAATTTAATTAAATAGAAAATATAAATCTATTTGTTTTGCACAAAAGAATTGAGTAATTTGCAATAAAACGTAAAGTCAGTGTAATTGTTTAATAATTTAGCAATATACAGTACTTAAATACTTAAACATGACTATAAAATTTTTAAATTCGATAATGATTTATAGACTAGGGATATTTTTAAACTAGGACAGGATTAGATAAAATAATAAATAGCACACAAAATCTGAATATATCTAAATTTTAATTATTCTGTGTTCTAATGTATGTGAGAAGCGGGGGGTTAGTACCCTCAGCTTCTCACATACATTAGAACAGAGAAGACTAAGGTTCTCTGTTCCCTTTTGGTCGGTGATGGATCTGCCTCTTCTTCTAATCATCGCGCAGATATGGTGGCGATGATTAGAAGAAGGGTCAGATAATATATGGCACCTAGATCAAAATATTTTGGAGACATGGCGACTGCTTTGAATCGAGGTTGCAAGACCTTTTATTCTAAATTTTTCCTCCAATCGGGGGGAGGGTCAGTATTTCGACCATCTGACAGTATGTCTAGATGAGTTGTGCAACCTTATCATCGGTGATTATAACATCTTTTGCTCAGCAAGTATACGGCGAAAAAGGAAGTTCTATTTCCTTGTTCATGTCGAATTTTTATCATGAAAAAGTGGAAAAATTGTCAGTTTTAACAACAAAATATTATACCAAAAATTGATTTATAAAAATAATTCTATTCCTACATTCGGATTCTCACATGTACTGTATAAATGAGAATGTTTGTTTATTTGTTTGTTCGCTATGTACTCCTAGGCCGTTTGGCCAGTTACTACGAAACTGAGTAGTTCCATTAACCATACTATTACCTTAGATAACATCGAACATACCACCTCGAAATCTTTATTAGAATTCTATATATCAATTAATTTTTGTGTACATTTGATTAGTCAGATTTACCCGTAGCGTCATCTATTAGGAAAAAAATTTAACAAAATACTAAATGAAATATAATTTATACAAAAATGGATATAATATTAATTTAAAAATATTATATTTACTTAATTACTATTTAGAATAAAATAGCGCGAAGTATACATTCTATAATTACTTTGATGAGAAGCACTCACTTGAGTAGAGTCCAAACTATTACACTGGTCATGGGTTTGCACATGATCAATGGGCTGGCCATATGAAGTTTTCTGGTATTTTTTCAAGTTAGTAACACCTAAAAAAGGAGCCCGTTTCCCATAAAACTCTTTCCTAAAGGCATCCTCTTGGCAGATTGCCACGTTGCTGTAATCTGTTGGGTCAGGCTGATCCTAGTCTCGTATAATGATTAATTAATTTTCGTAATTTTTACCTGACCCGTCTTGTTTTCCGTCTAATTTTTCTATAAACAGGCTATTTACGGTGTCTAATCAGTATGTCTATACGTCGTGGTTATAAACATTCTGATAATGTTCTTAACCTGAGTTTTACCACATACATTTTTGAAATTTACGATTATTAACACGGGGTGTAACAATTACTACGATGTTGTTTTATAAACTCGAGCATAACAATGATGCCCGACGTTGCCTGGACAAAATATAACAACAGACATTAAGATTATTAGATTCTTTTGTACTTCTAACCCTTCTATTATATTATATTATTTGATTTATATAACTACTAATCTTAAGTAATGATTTAAAACACCGAGAGGCCAATCGAACACATTTTAAAAATTCTTTAAATTGTGTACAGTAGAGGAATAAAGAATTTCCAAAATGTGTTAGATTGGTCATTCGATGTGGTAAACCCTTACGAAAGAAAACTTATAAAGTTGTATAAAATCAAATACTATAATATAATAAATATTAAAACGAAAACCATATACAGAGTTTGGTTATCTCGGCCTACCATTGTCACGGTTATTAAGATACTCGAATGGTACGAAATTGGTCAAGTATGTTTTATGTGGTTTGCTTTTGTTTACACGCCCTTCGTGACGCACTTACGACCCCGCACGAGACAGGAATACAGACACTTACTCTGAATGCTTTATTCGGGGTCCTATCTGGGCTAAACCAATCAAAATCTTAGGGCCCTCTCTGGAGTTGCCAGATCTTCCCGTAACAAAGTAGACACCAATTGAAAATATGATATTTAAAATTTTTAATTAAGATATCATATTTTTCCTAATGTTAAATCCAAGAAATTGTGCCATTCACAGCCGAATATCAAACGGTAATCTGCTAACAAATCAAATTTCCCAAAAAACGGACCAAATATTTAAACTTGGCACCCAGGGGCAAATCTACATTGGAACTAATAAGGCTTAAGCCCTGTGATCCCAAGTGTCAAGGGACCCCAAAAATTAAATTAATTTTTGTTTTTGATTCATTAACACGAGGTGTGTTTTTATTTCAACACTTGGCGGTATTCCATCTTTATTTAGTTGACGATAAGGTCAATGATATCTGGTTGTACGTTTATTTCTTTCAATTTACTTTCTACGATTTCCCATACTATTGAAGGGTAAAAAATTAAGACAACACGGTTTCAGAAGATTTAAAATTAATTTTTAGGAAATTTTAATGGACTACTTATAGTGTGAAACGACAGAAAGGAAAAGCAAA